ATAAACCTAATTTTCTGATTTAATATTATCATCTTTTAATATTATATTAAATCAGCTGAACTAAGAAAATCTAAAAGTTACTCTATTATCTTATTTATCAACATTTATTTGAAATTACATCAAAATAGCTGAACTAAAAAATCTAAAAACTGCTTTATCATCTTATTTATTAACATTTCTTACATTTCTTATATATAATATTAAATCAGATTTTTTAGCAAAAAAAAAGAATTTGATTATATCTAACTGTATCATTATAAGAATTAATAATATTATTTTATTATAAACATTATTTTATCTATTTTTTTTGGCATATATAAGATTTTATATTCTAAAAATTAATTTATTGTTATAGATTAATACTAAAAATTTAATGTTATAAAAATCATCTTAATATTTTAAAAATTCAGTTATTTCAAATCCTTTATTAATTCACCCTAATATATTAAATTCATTAAATATATTATTTGATATAATATTAATTAATTTTATATTAACTTAAATTTTTATTTATATTAAATTATATAATATACTATAAATTTTATTAAAAGTATTATTTTTTTTGTTTATAATGAAGAAATAATTATAAGAGAAATTTTTGTAATTAAAATCTATAAAAAAAAAAATTTTTTAACTATTTTTAATAATATATAATAGAAAAATTAGTTCATATTGTTTTATTTAATTATCTTTAATAAAATACATTTTACTTATAATTCAATAAGATTTTTCTTTAATATTTTTAATAATTTGATGAATATCATCATATATTATAATACAATTATCTTTAAAAATTATTATAGATCTAATAATATATTATATTTCTTAAAAATAAATCAATTTTACATATATTTTTGTTATAATTGATTATAATATTTATAAAACTATTCTATTTTAAAATATTAATAGGTCTTGCAAAATGTATTATATTTTCTTAAATTATATATATTAAGTTATATAATAAGATTAATATATTTAATATTATATATTTTTTAGATATGATATATCTTAAATATAATTTTATAATATATATAATTAATTTATATATTTTTTTATTATTATATAAGAAAATTTAGAAATATTAAATGATTTTAAATAATTTTAAAAGTCTCAAAAAAATTATTTTTATAAATTATTATTTAAATTTATTATTATAATGCTTTAATGATATTTAATAAAAATAAATAATAAAATTACTTTAAATCTTAGAATTTCTTAAAATTAAAATTTTAGAATTTAGAATTAGATTTTTTTATGACTAATTTATATTTAATAATCTAATCAAAATTATTAATTTGAATATCATTTTCATTTTTTACAAATTAATTATAAACCATTTTTTTGATAAAATTATTTTTTATAGATAAAAGATTAAATTTTTTTAGAATTAATAATTTTTTAAATATAAAAATAGATTAAGGATCATTTAATATCTTTAAAAAGATTGCTAAATAAATCAGACTTTGAGAATTTTTTAACTAAATTAAGATCTTATTGTATTTAAAATAATAATATTAAAAATTTAAATGCAATAAAAATTAAATTTTGTTAAAATTTTCTAGAATCTGATTTTCCTAACATTTTTCTCATATATGTTTAAATTTATAACTTTAAAATTTTTATTAATTTTAATTTTTAAGCAAATTTATTCTAAACATATTTTTATTTAATATAAGTTTCATTTATAAAATTATTAATTAAAATTAATATTAATTATCAATTAAAATAATAATATTATAATAATACTTAAATAACTAAATATTTTGTTTAATTGCTATAAAATTTATATTATAATAGATATTTATTAGTAAAATTATTAATAATAAATATAAAATAAAGTTAAGAAAAATATTAAATTATTAAATATTTTATCTAATATTAATATGAATAAATAAATAAATTTTACATATTAATTTAAAATAATAATTTAATATTTATATAAAATTGATTATCTATAAATATTAATTAAATGATTAGATAAATATTAATTGTTTTTATTAAAAATGAATAATTTTTTTTTTTTTTGTTATTAAGAAATTTATAAAAATAAATAATAAGTTATAAATGCCTTTTTCTTTCAACAATTACCGTGTTACTAATCTCTTTTTGGTAACGAGTAACCTTGTACGGATTTTATGTGATTATCACCGGTTAAAATTCAACTTTTTTAATTATTTTTGTTATAAGTTTAAAAAGGGATTTCATTTTTTTAAAAGATTTTAGCATAAAATGACCTGATTTGTACCTTCATTAAAGATATATTAGAACAATTAAATGATTTATTTGGATACAAAACTCTTTTTACTTAGATTCTTTCGACCAATTATATCTACTCTGTCGGACATACGTTTGCCCATAAAGAAGTATGGTTATACAAGAATTTTTGTATTGCTATAAAAAATCTATAAAAATAGAATTTGTTTTAGCAATTCTTTTTTTTTTTAGGATTTGCAAATTTTTTTTTTTTTTTTTAATTTGAAGATAATGGATAGAGCTAATGATCAACGTAGAAGTCCACCAAACTATAACCGTCCAAGAGATTTCATACCTCACCGTGCTAATTCTTATAATAATAATTTTTACCCTCAAGAAAGGGATAATTATGGTTCTAGTTCTCACTACATGCCTCATAATCACTTAGATTATGATTATCAAATGAGAGAGCCACAAATGCTTTTAGATAGATATGACGAACGAGAAGAGGAATCACAATTCGGATTTAGAGGACAAGTTCCATATGGTGGAAATACAAGAGATCAAAAACCATACGGGAGACCTCCAATATCTCATATTCAACCATATAAACGAAGACCATCTTATCGTGGTGGACATTCATACAATCCATATCCTAGACCACCTAATCGAGATTATAGGCCCAATTATAATAATAATTACAATAATTACAATAATTACAATAATTATAATAATAACAATAATTATAAAAGAGGAAATTCTATGCATCATCAACAATATCATCAACGTCCATATTCTGGACCTCCATTCCCTCCCGCCGCATCATATAGCCCTCCTCCAGAATTTTTTTCACACCCTCCAAAAATTGTACATATTCCTGCTTATGCGCCAGTACTTGAAGAAAAGGTAAATGTTTATAATGAAAAAAAAAAAAAAAAAATTTCTAGTTTCCGTTTACATATTTTAATTAATTTCTCAATATATTTAAATTCGAAAAGTTGGCGCAAATCAGAGAAGAAGGAGTAAGGTTGAGAGAGGCCGAATTAAAATTAAATGAAAGTGTTCGAAAATCACAAAGAGAACTTGATAAATCATTATGGGAATTGGAAAAGGTTAATCATAATACTTCTTTGGCAACGAGACAAGTAGAAACACTTTGTACGAAAGAGGAAATAGAAAAAATTGAAAAATTAGCTGTAACAACTGAAAGGGAAAGGGAATTAGAAATATTGGAGTGATCTTAATTGTTCAACATCGACCCACATCAACTCGACATGTAATTTTTCTCTGCCAATACCATATCATTGAATATTTTATATAACGTTAATATTTAAAGAAATTTATAGAATTTAAACGTCAAGAAAGTTTTTCTAGTGTTTTTAGTGTTTTTAGGCGATCACTTATGTGCTCACGTTGTCGAGCTTGAGTGATTAAAGCGATTCGAGTAGTGAATGAATCATATCTAATTATTTTTTAGTTAGAATTGTAAAAACGTGAGATTTTTGTTTGGCGCAAAAAAAAAAAAAATTTTATGAATTTTACAGCGTAAGAGTTTACAAGTGATTCTTGGAACTCATTGAATCCTTTTCCCTCGAGAAAAGATAAGCCCAAACATAATTTATAGGAATAGATTTTAGAGATACTTGATAAATTTGACTTGTATTTTTATCAGGTCGCTTTTATTTATGATTAGATATGTGTTGTCATTGAAATTATCGAATTTATAAAAAAAGAAATAATTATTATTGAACTTTATAGAATACATTATTTCTAAGCTGGAAAGAATAATATTATTTTGATATCGGATGTCTTTATTATAATATGTAATAAAGATTGTAATATATATTTTTTTTTTTTAACAAACAATAAAGTTTTTTTTTTTGTTTTCCCTCTCTAAATTCCTTCAATTAAATTATCTGAGGTACTTTAAATCCAAAAAATCTAAAAGAAACTTTCACGCGTAGTCCCAGAGATCTGTATTTTGATATAATTCAGGAAATTGCTTTCCCAGCATTTGGAGGACTTCTCTGCGATGTTCATACTCCAAACGCACAACGATCTTAATAAAACATTCTGGTTTCCTTCAAAAAAATATAGATTAGTTCATATTTTGCTTCAATTTTCAAATAATGAAACTCAAATGTAAAAGCTAAACGCAAATTATATTACGTGTTTAAACGCATGCTTATGAAATTCAATAAAATTCACACCTTTGTTCTGAAAATTAATTTATTTAGTTATAAATTATAATCCAAACGCGTAAAAATTCATTTCTGTTAATACTTACTCGAATGAATTTACCTTGGAACTATCTCATCATTTTCGGGTAAATAATTGCTTTTAATGTGGATTTGATCTTTAAGACAAAAATAATCCAAGTATAAATAGTATTAGATTTATGTCGTAATAATAGATCGACGATCAATATGTCAAATTCTTTGGTTATATAATATAATTGGTACGATAACGCCACATGAACGTCTAATTTATTGCCAGACCAGGCTAAATGTCTTTGGAAACATTTGTTTTTGTAAACTAAAGGCTAGTTGTTGATTCTTAATTGTAAGTACTGTTTATAGAAATATTCTGGTGGCAAAGAATTATTCTATTTATTTTGGATGGAATGGATGATCTCACTTGATATGTGTAAATATTCCTATAACCGATATTACGGTAAAATAAAAAAATATATTTTATTGATAATTTACGGGTTCATTAATGTAATCTTTATAAGGTAAAGAACTAAAATTATAAGATAAAGATATTAGAAAATATTAACAGGTGAAATCATTAATCATAATGCTAGGATGAAATTATACGTGGAATATTGTACACTTATTCTCATGATAAAAGCAGGGAAATCATCTTCCGAGGAAAGAAATATTTCCAAAGAATATTTCAACAAATTATTTTCAACAAGCAGTGAAACGTAAGTAAATTTAATGCTAGATTAAGTATCAAAGAACAAAATATGTAATTTCCAAAAATACCTTATGACGATTGAGCTGAAACTAACGAAGACAGTTCTGGGAACCCTCATTACCGAGTACCGCCGCAACTATTCCCGCGACAACTGACGATGATACGAGATATAAATTTTTTGATTTAATGTTGTGTTACGATACCTACCACAGATTTGGTTAGGGATGTAATGTTTGTTCTATGATCGCCCATACATAAATAAGTTTGTAACACAACTTACGAATTTAAATCATCTCTAATTTTTAGAAGTATGAATCAAAAAGTCTATAAGGATGGGAATTCAAAGCCTTAAGAAGCTAAAATTTTGGAAATACAGGAAATATAGATGTCCGCAATTTATTTTCCATGTTTCCCGGTAGAGACAAATTGCTCAAGAATTAACTCCGATATAGACCGTAATATATGAAGGAATTAGAATATCTGTAAAAATTAAAAATTACTTTATTTAAGTATCTGAGAATCAATTGTGTTTGGAGCTTACAAATCTTGGAAAAAATTGAAATTATTATTTTGTATGTTGAAACTTTAAGCTGTCGAAACAAAAAGAAATTTTAGGAAAAATTTTGAAAGCGAATGTTCTTTAGGAATGCAATAGTTAAAAGTGTTAGATCGTTGATAATCTTTACGAAACTATTGGATATTAAAGGAAAGTTATTTTTCCATTCATTCTTGTTTGTTAAGTATCTTAGTGTTATAGGAATTTATTTGGAATTTTCAGCTTTATAGGCCACATCGAGCGCAATTCTTAATCCAAACAATTCCTGATGAGGAACTATAGAAGTTTAGATGCCTGATAATATTCTGGACAATTCAATGCACGCAAAACCTACCTACATGATTCCAATACAGACGTCAATTAATCCTTACCTTAATAATGAATGCTCTTCAACTGTGCCATACAACACGTTTATATCTTTTTTCTTCCAAATTTAACCCAATTGATGATGATTAGGTAATGGTAATCAACACGTCAACACGTGATATTATATTGGACGCGCGTCGTCATAGAAATCATGATTTAACGTGACTTTCACACTCATGATGAATTCAATTCATTATAAAACATAAAGAAAACAGACACCATCTATCTTTTAACATTACACCCAGTATATCGGTAAATTTTCCTGTTCCATTAAAAATTTATGATTATTAAATCAAGATTTATATTGATGGATTATTTCAATTTCATGATCTATATTCTCGATGTACCGAACGACTTTTGCTTTGGTACTAGAAAGGGTTCTGAACCAGAAAGTGGCATTGATATGATAACATGCTTAGAAAATCACGTGACCTAGCTTTACTAGTATTTGAAAGAAAAAGCTTATTGGCAACTACAAAAACTTTGAAGCAACTTTGTTCATTAAAGGAATACCGAAAACATCAATTAAATATTATGAGCGGTTTACTTTATAAAATCACGTTACGGATCATACGTTCGTAATTCCATTTAAATAGCAAACGATCCATATATTCGGCGGCCATTATCATTATCTTTTTTTCTTTTTTTTTGATTTGAAACTATGAAATTGTTCAATTATAAGAAAATGATCGAGTATCCTTTCACTTTGGTTTAGTCTTCGATTTAAAATCCGTAGTCTCATCACTGTCTAACGCGTATATTTTTAAACATTCTCATGTTTGACTTTGAGTGTTTACATCATCCGTTACTACTATACCTTTGTCCGATCCGATTAAATGAAAATAATTAAATTGTTCAGTTATAATAAATAATTTTTGCTTTTCGCATTAATAAGTTTTTGTTACACCATTCTAATAACTATCCTCGATCACTTTAAATTGTTTAATTATGCACAATTTTTTAAATTCATTAATCGATGTATAATCTATTTCCGTCGCATTCGATTCAACCGTAAGGTTTATCGAAAGGGTTCTTGGAGGGATATAATCTTCCGTAAAGATCGTTCTTCGTGACCTTTTCGAAAATAACTTTGTTCCTATCAAATATGCGCATACTTTCAATTCATGAAACCCTTTGGGGGAGTGTTCCGCGACAATTTCTAACAATTCGATTTCGTTTAAATAGAAATTTTCACATGAGATTTCGAGAGTCATTAATTGATTACAATTTTTAAAGATTTGTTTTAACGTTCTCCCCTCATTATATAGAAAGTTTGTACGTAAATATTTTAAATTCCTACAGAATGTTGATATGGAAAAGTTTATCAAATTGTTGGATTTTCCAATTTGAAGTTCTCTCAAATACTTTCCATTAATCTTTAAAAATTCATTTAAATTAATGAACCTTGGACTATAATATTTAAACACCAAGATTCGCAGGTGCGGAAAGGTGACGTCCCGAAAATTTACCGAGTAATCGTTGTGATTGAATAATAAATACAATTCTCTCAAATTTGTGAATTGCGTTATGAATGATAAAGGGGGATTATGATGATTTCCACCATAAAATTCAAATTTGGTTAATGACTTTGATAAACTTTTGAATGATGGGATGATGTTCGTGAAACTCACACATTTGTAAGTTTGAAAGATTTGTAAACAATTTAATCTTTGTTGAACTGAGATTAAATCGGAAAATCCGGTTGAGATTCGTTCGCAAAAGGTCACGTTTAACGTTCGTATTTTTTGACAGATTTGAGATAATCGATAAAGGAGTTCAGAATCAATGTCGGAACCACAATTCAATTCCGAAAGATTTCTAAAACAATCGATCGCCCCAGGGTAGGTGACAAATGGTATATATAGGTGGGACGTGTAAGTGTAATAGAATAATCGTCTCAGAGAAATTTGTTTCACGAGCATCTTAAAAACTTCTTGTGCCGCCACGATATTTTTATTGATGTCAAAGTCACGTGGATTGTTGGAATGATTATTCAGTAGGAACGATATTCCTCTACAAATTTCAGCGTTTGAAAATGTTTTGATGTATTGAACGTAATTAAAGATCAAACGTCTTTGAGTTGGGGGTGAAACGGTAATGTTGTTCTTGTATAAAATTTCTTTTGATTCTTGAGGCAGGCAAGTGAAAAAGGTTCTAAAATTATGGATACTTGACCATAAAAATGGAACAACCGTCACACACCAAAGACGGTTAACTAGTAAGCATGAATATAAGGTCTTTTTATCTCTCACCAAAAATTCAAAAATTTCTTTTAAACAATATCTAATAAAAGATGTGATTTAACGAGTATTATGAAAACAAAATGGTTTGGCGGTCTTGTTATCGATTCTATCAATGGCTCTATTTAAGGAATTCATGTTTTGGTTCTATTAAGGCTATTTAAGGTTAATGGATATATATATTGACTTTTGTTTGGTAGTGCAATATTGCAAGCATTAAATGTTTGTCAAAAAAGTTGACAGTTGTTATTTGAACGCGTGGCGTGTGAACATCTCCTTGATCCAGTATTGATTACAATTTTGTAATAACATTTCCGACAAAGATTTATATCCCCTTGAATTTTTTTTTTTTAGTAGTAAACATCTTAATATTACAATAGACCAAAATGTTACTTGGGAAAAAATTGATCCAAAAGATCCTACGCGCTAAAAAGGGATGTTACACACGCTGCACCCTACCTTTACGTTCGCATTTTTATTTTTATTCAAATTTAATGTTCCCTCTTTCGCTAGAATTAAAATATTACACCACATTCTGATTGTAACTTAATGTATTGTCACAATCAAGATTTTAAAGGAATAGTAGTACGCTGACCCCGTTAAATTTCCTCATGGGAAATTTTTTTTTTTTCTTTTAATTTATTTCAAAAGTTCAAAATCAGCATCTCCCGCAACACAATATGAAAATCCTTTTTATTGTATTTTTTTTTTTTTCGCCGGTTGTTTATCAGTCATATGATGAATCTATCTTTGATAATTTTAGTAATCACTGAAAACAACACATTCTCAAGGTATGTTTACGCGTGGTCCGAATGGAACGTTAAACCATAAAGAATCTTTATTTTAAACATTTGGTTTTTTCCTTTCCTTTCCATTTGCAGTTTAATTTAATCGTTATTTTTAGATTGAAATGTTTCACAACACGATTCTTGCTAAATTTGTAAACAATTAAAAATCAGACTCAAGTTGGTAAAGATAAAGACGCACCAATTTTCGCTTGTTGAAGATATATGGATGGAATAAAAACGTTAGATTTCAAACTGATGATTATTTAAAGAACATTCTGAACACCGACGTATTGTATAATTTAATTACAATAGGATTTAATTTTTTTTTTACTTCGTTTTCCTTTTTCTTCTCTTTGATTATAGTTAATTATTTTTTTTTTTCGATATAATTCTTTTCTCTAATCTCATTTCGTATTTAATTTCGTTGTGAATCTCCCGAAGCATCTTTAAATAATTTAAGTTTTTAAAGGAGTAGAATTTTTACAAATTTTAAAAAAACCCATTCAAAACGTTCAACTTATGAAGATTTATTAAATCATGAGATGATAGAGTCGGTCCTTTCTGTGAAAAAAAAGAATAAAATATCAAAAATGAAAGTTGATTGAAGTTCCAAATTTAAATCAATTTATATCATTTGCTTCCACAATGGAATGGAATTAGAGAGATATGACATACAAGTTAGGTTCTGACCGATCATTTATTAGAGTCATCTCAGTTGAAATGATTATAACATTATCATTCCTTATCCACTTTAAATCTTCGTCTCACACATATAAAAAAAAAAAAACTTTTAATTATTTATTTTTTAGTGTAAAAAATATTTGAATTTTAGCAAAAAAAAGCATATGCAGTGGAATAAAATTTTTTTAGAGCGCGAAAAAATTGTGATCAGTATGACACATTACACAGTCAAAGTAGTGTAACCATGTTATTATTTCAAGGAAACCGCGAATGAAACAAAAGCTAAAAATAATTATTAACTAATAAAAAAAAATAATAATAATAAGGTTAACTTTGAAACGCCATATGATTTCGTTGCATTTATGTAATTAAAAGGTTTTCTGATGAGAAAGGAGTCGGTAAAAAGATTGCTATTTAAACCTTATTTATCGTAAAATGATGATTTGCTCCCTCCTTAAACTTTTATGTAATTTTTTTTTCCTTAAACGCTTTTATTGTTTGTAAATTTGGTAAAGTGCGAAACCTTGTTTATATGCATATTAAATTTGGTGAACCCTTTAACTTCAATCAAAAAGACGGGAAAAATATATGTGAAATAAAGAATAAGAATCCTAGTTTGATTATATAAGATTACATGAGCATTGACGATCAAAGTCAGCTTTTCTTGCTTTTGGCACCCTGTGATTTATTGATAATCGAAAAAAAAAAAAATAAAAAGAAAGGCGAGTCGGAAAGGTATTTGAATAAAAAAATTGGTAATTCGTCTTAAATCTATTTTTTTTAATCAATAAAAATTTATTTACAAATGTCAAGAGTAGCAATATTTGATCAAAATGTATGTTATTGAATTGTCTTTCATTCAAAAAATTTGTTGATTCAAAATATTTATTTCTTTGGTAGAGTGACAACATCATCGTTGAATGTATGTTGAAGTGGCAAGCGATGCCCAACCGATATGTAATGATCAGTCGACAACGGTTACCGATGTATACGCCAAGACAAATTAGCAGACGGTAAGTTTATTTTGCTTTTTTTTTTTTTTCATCAAGCAACAAGAGGATTCATACTTTCTTTTTTTATTTCCTAATAATTAAAGTTGGAATAATCATCTAAAACATGGTAAGTAATTAATCAGTTTCGCCGCAATTTGAAAAGATTTACTAAATATTTATATTTCATTTTTACTTTCTACTTCTTGTATATTTAGTATGTTTAAGACCTTTGACGGAACGGGAGAAATCTTTCATCAGTTACCTGGTACCAATAACCACGACAACCCGTGGTCAAACTTCTTGGACGCGTATATGTTACAAATTATATGATAGATTCCACGTCCTTCACTCTGCCGATAAGGTGAAAAATTATTGGTATGCGAATGTGAGAAAAGTTTCACGGGAGGGTAGGTCAATATAAAAAAAATAAACTTTTAGACATAGTTAGATTTTTTAGTAGAAAGGAAAGATTTCTTTTCATTAAATATCATCAAGTCAAATCATACAAGTCTGGACTGCATATAAGCAATTTTAAAATAATTATAACAGAATTAAGAAAACTTGTTTATTCTAATCGGATAATTATGATCCGTTATTATTGATAACTATAATCTAAATCTGACCAAACGTATGGATAATTATTTTTTCAAACATAAAGAAAATAAGGTATTAAACTTTCCTTCTATTGTCACGCGCGAAAATAAATAATTAGTAAGGAAAATCTTGATAAGATATCTGAAATAAAATCTCAATTAGAACATTATTTGAATGCATATATGCCAATGCTCCAGCTGTTTCAATACTAGAACCTAAAGACATTCATTCAAAATTTGATCTCATTTCTTATTGGCTACGTTATGGTTACCTGGAAAACTCATTTTAACAAATGGCAAAAGTCGAATATTTCGACGTTTTTCCAGGCAACTATACCTTTTTTGTACGTAAATTTATCTATTTTTAATAATGATTTTCAAACGTCGGTCCTTAATTCTTGATGGAATACCTAAGGCAACTAACAGCAGATTTTTTACTTCTACCGCCATTTTATAATACTATTGATACCCCATGTTATCAATCATTTTAAGTTCATGCTTATGAAAAAAGGGTATTAAAATTTCAGGGTCCAACATTCTTAAAATTTTAAAAAAAAAAAAAAAAAAAATTTATTAAGTACATATGAATCATATCTTACAGTTGAAGTATATATATTTAATTTCTATTCCCCAAAATTTGCAATTCTGAAATTTTTAATGATACCCAAATTTATAAATGTTTCGATTGCTTCCATATTAACTTTTAAAGCGCTAAATCCTTTAATACCTTTGACAATGACCAACGAAATTAATTTTGGTGGTATGGGATTTATCAAGATAGATTCTAATTCTTTTGAAAATAATTCTGATTGTACATGAACTGCACATACTTTTAACTCATGAAAGGTATTAGATGAATGATTTGCGACAATCTCCAACAGTTTGCATTCATTCAAATGGTAATTACCACACAAGATCTTTAAACTTTCTAACTTTTGACACCTAGTCAAGATTAATTTCAACGTTTCCACTTCCCCATACCTAAATATCGTGTACAAGGAATTCAAATTCGGACAAAATTGAGCAATGGCCAAATTTAATGAATCCTTTGACCTACATATACGAATCTCTGTTAAATTCATCCCGTTGATCTCTAGGAAGTTAACCAAATAATCATGTTTCGGACATTCATATTTAAACTCCAAGATTCGTAACTCTGGAAAGGAAGTGTATTGTAAATTTCGAAAGTAATTAGAATGACAAAAAAATAATACCAGCTCTCGTAAATTGGAGAACCTGTTAACGAAATCCAATGACATATGATGAAATTCCCCATAGAGAACAAAGACGGTTAAAGTGGGGGGAATTCTATTTAAATAGGGACCTATCTCCGTCAAATCTTTGCATTTTGAGGTGTGAGTTACGTGCAAATGCTTTAGATTTTGTTGAACGGAAAGTAAGTCGCCAAATTCATTTGAAATCACCTCTTCAAAGGTTACGTTTAATGTTTCTAATTTATGACATAGTTGAGATAGCTGATAAAAATATTTAGGATTGATACTTGAACCACAGGTTAACTCTGAAAGGTTTTTCAAACAATTCTTTGCCCCAGGATATGTGACAAATGGTATATCTGGAATGTAATTTAAATTAGGATAAAAATGAAATTTTTTCAAAGAATTTTGACTCATAAACATTTTGAATATTTCTTGTGCTAGTATAATATTTTTACTATCGTGAAAGACTTGTGACGGATCATTTTTGAGAAGATATGATATTCCTTCACAAATTTCTTTTATTGAGAATTCCCTAACAAATTTTACGTAATTAAATAATGGGTGCCTTGAAGTCGGTGTTGAAATGATTATCTCATTTCTATATAAAATCTCTTTCGATTTGTTAGGAAGGCAAGCAATTAAAGTGTTAAAATTCCTGATACTTGCCCACAACAATCGAACTGAAATTTCACACCAGAGCCAGTTAACAAATGTGCAATTGGATAAACTTTTTACGTCCAAATGACTAAAGATATCATTTAAACAGTCGGCGGGAAGTTGTTCCTTTGTCATTTTTTTTTTTTTTGAAAAAAAAATTATTAAAGTTTTTTGTTAAGAAAGAGAAATAAGATTTGCGCTAAAAAAAAAAAAAAAAAATTGGTGCTTTAAAAAAAAGCGGTACAAGTTACTATTTAGGAAGTTCCATTCGATAATTGTGTGATGTGTAACTTGTTCATCATAGGATCGACATTTGCATTTTCTTTTTTCCTTTTCCAACTTGGAGTTTTCGAGATACTTTTGATCTGCTCAGATTTGATACGCTTGCAGTTTCTTGCAGTCCACGTTTAAATATAGTATGAAAAGTTAAAACAAATTTGTTAAATCCAACTAGCTTAATTTCAAATTTTATATTGATTAAATAATTTAAAATTAATTATTATTAAACACGAATTCTAAATTGAATTATTCATTTACTTTAGCACAATTTTTGTATTTTTGTTAATTTTGAAAATGGTTTATTTATTACTAGAAACAATAAAAAATTATTTTAATTATAATTATACTAATAATTATTGTAATTCACAAGATTCAACTTCCCTATATTAAAATTAATTCCAAATTAATCGATAAAACATATATCACATTAGATTGATGGAGATAACCAAGAAGGTGTTGAAAAATTAAATCTAAATAGTAATTGGCAAGAGGAAGTAGAGATCGTATGGATCGAAAAACTATTACTTCACTATTTAACGATAAAGAAAATCTTGACAAAGGTTGATAAAACAATTATTATTATTGGAAGTTATAATCTTGACCGTGTAAAAGTACAAATAAATGGATTAAATAAATGAAAATTTTATATTTTCATTTAATTCTTATCAAAGTAAAAAGGAACATTTTAATATTATTTGGATGTGTGTTTTTGATATAGAAAATTATGGATTACAAAGTTAAAAAATTTTTAAATAAAAAATTTCGATATAAAATCACATGCTGTAATCATCAGAAATTCGATTACGTGAATTTTTTTTTTTAGAATTTGTAAATAGATAGTAAATGCCTTCTATATAATATTAATAGCTTTCTAAAAGAAATTCTTTGATTTCTGTAAGATTCAGAATGTATTACAAAAAAGGAACTTAAATATTTTCATTTCAATTTAATAAAAAAATATTATACATATATCTTTTTCACTTCTTTAGACAAAGAATAAGAAAACTGATAATAAGAAAAGCTTTAGAAAATATCTAAAGTGCTAGAAAATAACTAGCAAATTTAAATTATTTTAGTATAAATAGATTTTACTGATATATTTATATTATAATTAATTAGAATATAAAGTTACTATATTTCACTGTAAAATTAAAACTAATGATGAAAATATTATATTATAACTAAAATAATGATATCAGTTATAATTCAAATAATCTATTTTACATCAAAATATAAAAGTTATACTTAGGATTAAGATTACTAAATAAAATCTAAAGGTTTAATAAATTAATTAAATAATAGAAGTAAAATTTAGTGAAAATATATTAAAATTTTATTAAAAAATTAATGAAATTTAAAAATTATATTAAAAGTTATAAAATTTTATTAAAACCTTAATAAAATATTAGCAATTTAATTATAATAAGATTATAATTAAGATATATTTATTATCATAAAATAATAATAATTATATTTAGAATTTAAATTAAATTATATCATTTATACTAATATAATAATTTTATAATTATTTTATTATAATAATAAATTATATTTTATATAACAAATAAATATTTTATTAAGAAAATAAAAATTAATAAAATACACATTTAAAATTAATAATAATTTTATAAAAAAACAAATTAATAAAATATCTTTTAAATTTTAAAAATAAATTTTTATATTTTTAACTTTAATAAATATGATTTAAATCTAATCAAAATGATATACTATTAGTTAAGAAGTTCATTTATTAATAAAAATAAAATTATATATATTTTTAATTATAAATATTATTTTTATTTATTATTATTATTATTATTATAATTAATAAAATTGTATTAAATATTAAATCATATTCTTTTTTCAAGATATTTTATATCCTATATATCCTATTTATAAAAAATATAATTAAATAAAATTAATGATAATAATTATACCAGATCACTATTAATAATAAATAATAATACTAAAATAATAATAATAATTATATCAATTTTATTAGTTCTATTAATTTTATCTGATCTAATAATTTTTACCATTTTAATATATATTTTACTAAAAATAATTAATAAAATATATATTAAAATTTTAAAAGTATTTTATTAAAAAATTTCTAAAGAATTATATCTTTAAAATTTAAAAGTAATTTTTATTAAATAAATATTAATATATACTTTCTATTTAACTTTTTAATAAACTAAAAAAATTATAATTCTTATTGATTAATTTTTTATTAAAATATAAAAAAAATATATAATAATTTTAATAAGTTTTTGATATAAAATATATATTGTATTATTAATAAATTATTAGATAATTTAATATTTAATGCTTTTTTAATTAATTTTTTAATAAAATAAACTAATATTAATCAATTTATAAAAAAGATTATATTTCACAAAATTAAATTTATTAAAAGTTTTATAATATATTATATAATAAAAAAAACCTTAGTTTAAAAATTTAAAACTAAATTATATTTAAGAATTTTAACAAAAAAACTGTTATTTTTATTAAATAAAATAATCTAATAAGTTAATTAATAAATTTACCTTAAATAATTAATAAAATATTTACTAGTATTTAGTAAAATAATTATAAATTTTATCATTTCATATATTTAATTTTTATATTACAAATAAAATTTTAATAAACTTTACATTTAATTTATAATTAGTATTTTTGAAATAAATCTTTAAATTCTAAATTCTCTATAAAATTTATTTATAGAAATATATATAAAAATAATATGTTTTTATATTTACAAAAATATATAATATATACATAATTATTATATATAAAAAATAAAAATTACATATATTTTATCAACATATTTTATATATAATTATATATATAATGTATTATATAATTTATATAATTTTATATAATTAATTTATCAAAATACTAACTAAAAATATAATTTATAATTTATTAATATATAATTAAAAATAACTGTTTATGATTAAATAATATAATTATATTATTTAGTCATAAACAGCTTAGATTAGATTATTTAATAATAAAATAATCTAGGTATGGCTAAATAATTTAAATATAATTAAATAATCTAAATATGATTAAATAATCTAAATATAACTAAATAATTTAAATATGACTAAATAATCTAAATATGATTAAATAATCTAAATATAATTAAATAATCTAGTTGTGAATAAATAATCTAAATATAACTAAATAATTTTAATATAACTAAATAATCTAATTGTGAATAAATAATCTAAATATAATTAAATAAGATTAAATAGTCTAATTAAATAATCTAATTATGATTAAATAATCTAATTATGATTAAATAATCTAATTATGATTAAATAATCTAATTAAATAATCTAATTATGATTAAATAGTCTAATTAAATAACCTGATTATGATGATTTTATACCTACCTATTTTTCTTATTATATTTTCTGCCTTTAAAATTGAATTTCTTTTCTCACTTTCTATTTATTATTTGTGATTATATGATTAAATAATCTAATTATGACTATGACTAAATAACTTGAATACGCCTATTTTTATTAGTATTTGCAGTATTATAAATACTTTTTATTATAATTTACGTTGATTATATTCTACAGTCTTTTCATTACCAATTTGATACCTTCTTGTTTGAAGCTAACTTTTATATTAGAGGTAATAGCCTTCTGTATCAATTTAGATACTGGCTCTATGATGAGAATGAGATCTATTTAGTTGCCTTTCTAAATGCTGAAATGTGATAAAAAATATTGTGTTAGGTAATGCAGTAAATCTGCGTCTAAATTTAGCTAGCACTATAAAATAATTTAGGCTGATCTTTAGGGCATATGATTTGAAAGATCTAAACTGTTACTATGCTAATGACTTAATAGTATCCTGAAGCTATTATAGAACTGGCAAAAAACCTGAGTGTTTCTATTAGTTTGCCAATTTCAGGCTAGCTTAGATGCTGAGTTATTATGTTCAAGGATCTGATCAAATTTATGTGCTAGCTGATTTTATACTGCGTCTTACTGTATCAGTCACATAACTTTCACTAACTTATAGATTAGAAAATTTAAAATGCAAAATATAAAAAACTGTGCATTATTATAGTTAGTTTACACCATCTTGTAATCCAACTATTACCTATTTATTAACGATAGATTAGTGGAATATTATAAGTATTTCTGAGATCTAATCATAGTTTAATCTGAGTCAAGATAATAAGTATGCTAATTTTTTGAGTGTCTCTATAGATTTTTCATGAGACCAAATTTTTGATAAGTCATTAGGGTCAACTTATAGTATTAGGCTATTTTATTTCTTTCTTGATTAGTATCATAAGTATCATAAATTTCATATACTAATCCATGACATAACCCATGGTATGTTCATTATGCTTCTTAAGATTATTAAGCTATTTTATTTTTTTCTTGATTAGTATCATAAGTGTCACTAGTAAAAAGTAGTAATTTTTAGGAAAAATCAAAATTTTTCTATGCTATCTTTGTGATATATATGTGATATATGTATGCTAAAAAAATAAAAAAAAAGTTAAGAAACTCAATTTTTTCTTATGATAGTTATAACACCAATAACACCTTTTAAGAAAACTTTCTTTTGACCTAAAATTTCTAAAAAGCTTATCGTCTGTATCATAATTTTTGTCACAAGCTTTTTTTTCTATAACACTAGTAATTTTGAATTTTTAGAAAACTTGTTACTCATAGTAACAGATTTTATATCATGTGATAAGTTGTATTATTTTTGTTTACCTCTAAATTACCTATCAGTATCTGTATCAAAGTCAACTTAGCCTGCTTTTTCTGATAATAATATTCTCTCAATTTATGTTTTTTTATATGTATATCACA